CTGAGCTCAGAGCCCAGCTGTGACACAACTGTTCAGAGCCTCGGTTTCCTTCTTTGCCAAGTAAAGAGAACAGCGCAGGCCTCACAGCTGCTGGGAAGATCAGGTGGGGTCACATAGATGGAGCTCTGAGCTCCGATACATTGTAACCCGTGGGGGAAACATTGTAGCTGTTAGCATTTAGAAATGGTTACTGTTACCATGGGCAACTGAAGGCTACAGGGGCTGATGAAACAAGTCTTGAAGTCAAACAGGCAGGGAAGGATAGGAAGCCAGGTCCCCGTAGCCGTGAGCTTCTCGAGTTTTGGGCAGCTCCTGGGGGTACCCTCACTGGTTTCCTGCTAGCTCCCTTCCTGTTTTCAACTGTGGAGTCTGATCTCGGAGCTCTGGATTAACCACAGGCAGGGCAGTCTGGACGGGCACCTCCTCTCCCTGGGAACAGGTCATGGATGCCGTGGCCTCTGACCCTATCCGGACCTGCCCAGCTGCACCCCAGGACCGCAGGCTCCTCTCAGCTTCTATCTTCCTGTTATGTCTTGGTCGGATTCACCTCCTCTGCCCTGTGTTTAATGATGCAGAGCCCTCTGCCGCCCCTCTCTCTTTCTCTCTCTCCCTCTTTCTCTCTCCATGCATGAATCTTCCCAGGACCAGTGTCAGCTCACATGCATGCACACCCACAGCACACTTGCACATCACAGGCACCACAAGTACATCTCTACCCTAAACCACACTTGCAGTCTGAGCACACACACACACACACACACACGAGTGAGAGACGTGCATGCACACACATGGGCACATTGCTACAGTAGCTCACACATTTTGAATGTTTGCTACACGCCCAGCGGCACGCTGGGGTTTTCCTGTGAAGGCTCTCCTCCAGCCCTCACAACAGCCTCTGACACTGGAGCCATTATTGTCCCCGTTTTGCAGGTGAGGAAACTGAGGCTCAGAGAGGTTTAGTAACCTGCCCAGGGTCACACAGCTAGTCAACGACAGAGCTAAGATGTAAAATAAGATACTTTAATGGCAGGTCAGCAAATAGCAACTTGCAGGGCAGATGTGACCGATCACCTGCCTTTGTAAAGAAAGTAGTGATGGGAAACAGCAGAGCTCTTTCTTTTGCACACTAGGGCAGTGTTCAGAAGTGATTGAGACCACGGGCCTCACAAAGCTGGGCTCCTGTAGAGAGAGTGGCAAGAACGACGGTTCGAGTGCTCAAAGCGAAAGGAATATTCCGGGGAAGACGCATGGAGAGGAGTCTTTTACTGTGACACATTTTTTAAAGAGGAAACACACAACATATTTTTTAATCAAACTTCACGGAGGGGTCAGGTACTGCTTCATCATTTTGACCTAAGTGCATTCGTTTAAATGTGAACTCTGCATTCTTATTCTTCCTGGAAAACTGCTACTCTTGCCAAAGACAAAAAAACTTAACTAAAAATAAGCAATGAATCAGAAGCATGAAAACAGAATGGCAGGAACCTGGAGAGGCGGGTCACGGCTGGCTTCATTGCCTCCGTTTCTTTCCATCTCGTGGGCCCTGCTCTCTGCTAGACTGGCTTCACAACTGTGATCAGGAGCCTCTGGCCTCCTGAGCCCTCTTCCATAGAGGAAAGACGGTGTCCGGGCTCTCTAGGAAGCACATTTCCAGGGCAGGTCTCGAGCGTGCTGCCTCTCTCCTGCCCTTCCCAGCCAGGTGTTGGGCATCGATGAGTGAGTGAGTCTTTTGTCCTTCCGAGAACCCATCATGGCGGCCAGTGGCAGGGAGGAGATGGAGCCACCGTTGCCTAGGTTAAGTGTCTGACTCTGGGGCTGGGTGCATGGGACTGAGGGTGGGGGCAGCTGGATCCTCTATCATTGCATAGCCTGGCCATGTGGTGCTCTTCTTATTTGCGGAGTTGTGTCCCTACAGGAAGACGTCCTAGTATCAAGGGCTCCTAAATTCTGTAATCATTGTCCCAGGGTCCACACAGACCTCCCTGACCCCAGGTCCCCGGGGATGGGTTCTTGACACCAGATGACCCTTCTCGCTCCTAATGCACGATTGCCCCTGTTCCCCTGAGACCTGAGGGCTGGTTGTTAGGAGCTGGTGGGCGGTAGATGGAATTTAAGTATGGAGCCCGGCAGCTCATCCTCCTGCTCTGTGCTTTTGTCTGGGATCTCCATAAAGACAACACCAAGAGAAATAGCTAGGGGAGGACGTGGGCAGGGTTGTGGAGGAGGCTGGGGTTGGTGCACCGGATTCAAGTAATGCAAATCCGACCTAGCCGGAAGGGGAGGTCAGAGCATTCTGGCAGAAGTGAGGCCACTGTGTGGTCCCAGAAGCTCAGCAAAGCCACAGGGGCCGGTGTGAGCCCTTGAGCCAAATTCAGCCATCCACAAAGTCCCCTGCCTCAGTGTCCCCACCGTGTCCAACGCACTGGGTCCCCAGCCACTTCCCCTCCTGCAGTTAGATGTCTGCCAGCTTCGGCGTTATCACTGCCACACTCTGCAACTCGGACATTAGGAACAGACCCACCTTCATCCATCGTGGGGCTGGAAAGGCAGGAAGCAGATCAGGGACCAGGGAAGACCCTCAGTGACCCAGGACCCTTGGAACAAGCAGAACCCAGGGTCTCTGGCTTGGCCAGCGCTGCTCTGAGCACACACAGCCCGTAGATGAGAACCATCCACTGTGTGGATCGATGGACCAGGGTGGGGCCCGAGGTCTCTGTCCTTCCCTCCGAGGCCACTGCTGCGGACAATCTGACTCCTACGAGCACACGAGTCAGCTGAGATCCTGCCAAGGTGGGCAGGTCACACCCACGAGGATGAGCAGAGCTCGGGCCCAGAGCAGGCACAGGAGAACAGTAGCCATGTTCCCTGCTGTGTAGGTCTTTTGCTCAGTCCCCGCCAAATATTTCCAAATGGTGCCATTTTTGCAGAGGAGCTGCCAATTTGGGGACAGTGCGGTGACCCAGAACGGTAACATGAATGGAGGCTGATGACCACACGTGTGTCCCCGGGCAGACGTGGGGACTGCAGAGCCAGCTGAAGGGGAAGCCTGTGATCAGTAGGCTCGTCACTGGCTCAAACAGGATGCGGGCAGGAGCCCGGGACGGCCTCAGGGTGGCCTTGAGGCTGTGCTTCTAGAGAGCAAAGGAGAGTGCAGCCGGAAGTGAAGGGTCTCCAGGCACGGGACTTTGCAGTGCAGGGGGCACTGGACGCCAGAGGCACAGAGCCCTGTTAGTCCAGCCCATGGCGGTGTTGAGTGTGCCCTGGGTTTTTTGTTTTGCCTTTGTAGTACTGGGGATTGAATGCAAGGCCTTAGCTCTGAGTTATAGCCCTAGCCCATCATTTATTTATGTATTTATTTATTTTTACTTTGAGACAGGGTCTTCCCTAAGTTGCCAAGGTTGGGCTTGAACTTGCAATCCTCCTGCCTCAGCCTCTCAGAATGTAAGAATTATGCTAAGTTTGCATTACATTTAAAAAATTGTCCCTGCTTGTATTCTATGGCTACTGTAATAAATTACTAAAAACTTGTGGCTTGCCACAGCAGCTCTATTCCATCACAGCCAGTGCCATTCTCTCTCTGCCCCTACTGCACAGTGCCCTCTGCTGGTTGGGGCAAATTGCCTTCTTTGTTCCTCCTGTCAGTAATGGGGGGTGGGGGGCTTAGACAAGCCAGGCCCGTCTGTATGCTGCAATATCCTCAGTCACACCTGTAGAGACATGTCCTTCCCCTTTAACCAGTCACAGGTAAGGGATCCAAACATGAGTGGGGGGGAGCACTTCTCAGCCTGTCACATTAGCTGTCTCTCCTTGCCTTATGTGAGTCCCAAGGGGGGGTTCGTCTGTCTCGTTCGCCATGATTGGCTGTCACTGGCTGTGACACTTTTGTGCACCAGAGAATTGATAAATGTGTGTTGAATGAACTAACTAGAGAATGATTTTGTGAGACAAGGGGAAGAGGGTTTGCTGTTTAATGGAAACTCACCAGAATTCTTTGTAAAGGACTTTTTTTTTTAAATTTGAACTTTTTGCTTGAGTGGCTGGGAGTCAAACTCAGGGCCTTGTACATGCTAGGCAAGCACTGAGCGAAAGCCCAGCCTCGGGATTTTTTTAAATAATCAGCAGGAAAAAGAAATTGTCTTCAACTAATGCTCTGACAAAGTCACTTCCCCGTCAGCTGTTCCTCAGTGGTGCCTGCCCTGTGTAGCTTGAGAGAGAGGTGCTGCCGACCAGGAATGACCTGTAGTGTCACGGCGAGCCCCAGCTTTCCTGCAGAATGGGAGAAAGTGCCTTCATTGAGGTGCCCCTGCTTTTTCACACCTGAATTCTGTTGAACGTGCCCCACAGCAGGCAGCCACTGGCTGGTAGCTTGGGCCCTGGCAACTTCCTTTTCCTCTCAGAGACTTGCTTTTCTCATCTGCAAAACGGGACTGGAAATCACCCGCACTTTGTGGGGCTACGGTGGACCTCGAGTCCCTCGTGCGTGTCAGCAGTGGGTACACAGTGTGACGGGGACAAGCACGATTCCCCCACACAGCAGGGGCATGGGCTGGGCACCAGGCCAACGCCCTGTCGAGCCAGGATCTGGACAGGAAGGGAGCAGGGTTGGAGAGAGGCTGCACTTGCCTGTACCGCCTGGATGGTGGTGGGCGAGCTACTAAAACACGGCACATATTTTTATTTTCTCCTAGTTTTTCTTGCTCCTCCTCACTAGTTTTAAAACTCCTGAGAGGAAGGTTCTGTGCCTGTCTTGCTCATCCATTTGGTAACAGAAAACCTAACTGTTCAGTGACTCACACAGTGGCTTTCTTCTTATATATAAGAATTTCTGAAGATGGACACTGAAATTAGTGTAGCATTTCAGAGCCCTGTGATATTCTTAGCTTGATTTACTTCACCCACAATACCTCATAGTCACAGCATGGCTGCTGTGCCTTGAGGGGATTGCATCTACTTTCCTGATTAGATAGAGAAAGGAGGTACAACAAGATCGGTTGACTGTTTATTTGTCATTTTGCAGGATGGAGCCATGAAGTTAACATAGCTGAGGGAGTCAGTATTATCATCCTTTACAAAATCATAAAAAAGAAAAAAAAAGCACTGGGCTATTCTGTCCACATGGCTGTTCAAAAATGAAGAGAGAGAGAAAGGAATTGGAGGTTATCACCAGGATGAATGAAGGAGCCACTATTCCTGGACGGCCACAGGCCATTTGTCCAGCTCCGAGTTTACCTCAATGCTGCGTATTGAATGTGAAAGAAAGTGGAGCAGGGGTAGCTAGAGTCACCGGGGCAGAACCCTGCATGGAGCAGGGCTGTCTGATTTTAATCCGTGCATCTGCAGATTCACAGCTGCCTTCTCCTCAGGCGGCCCCCTCTCCGACCCGGACTAGGGGTCTCCCTTCAGTGCACACAGGGCTCTGAGAACGCACTGGGGCTGTCGGCAAGGAAGCAAAATACGGGCTACCAGGGTCTCTATAGGGACAGGAGGCGGCGCTTGGGGCCGTTTTGCTTTCAGTCTTAATTAGTTCTCCTTTGTCCTTGCTGCTTCTGGAGTTCACCAGAGTTTTGCCCTTGAGCCCCGAGTCCTTGCAAGAGGCAAGATGGAAGCCGAGCTGGATTGAATTAGGGCACCTCTGCCTACCAGCCCCGCTCCCTGGCCCTTGGGGATGGATGTTTGGCCAAGACCTAGTCCAACCAGGGCATGTGGGTTCAGCAGCCTTTTCTCAGCGGCCCTGGGGCTGAGAGCCCGGCCCGCTGGTCCGGAAGCGGAAATAGGCAAAAGTGGTGACCTTGGCCAAGCTAGGGGACTCTTCGGAGCCCCGGGCTGCTGCTCTGCATTCCAAAGACACAGGGCTGCAGGGACACGGACTGCAGATTCGGCACCGGAGAAAGAGAAGCCCTGAGAGGAGGCCGTTCCCCTTTCTTCCTCTTCAGTGTCCTCCACAATGTGAGTGGAAAGACCTGGCTTTGAATATTCAACTGGTTGCTTATTCTTTAGCTGAATATTTTTTTCAGGTGCAAAATGGGGTAAGGCCATACCCTTCCCAGGTCATGAGGGCTTAGAAATAGGATCACTGGGTTTCAGCTTCAATCCCTGCTCTGCCTCCCGCCAACTGTGTGCCTTTAGGAAAGCTGCTTTCCCTCTCTGAGCCTCAGCCTCCTCCTCCGGGGAATGGAAAGCCAGTGCTGGGAGGGTGAGCTGAGTTCATCTTTGCACCCTCCTAACTCCCAACCACCCCCTGCCTAGGTGTATGCTGTTATCCTCCCTCCTTTACCAATGAGGAAACTGAGGCACAGAGAGGTTGAGTTACCTGCTGCAGGTCACCCAGCTGAGAAGTGGGAGGCCTGGGACTCAAACCCCAGAAGTGTGGGCCTAGGGCCCCGCACCACACTTGCAAACGGGGGTCACAGGTGGCAAGTCCTGGTTCCAGAGGGGATGATGGGAGGAAAAAGGATTTAGAAAAACCCTTGTTCCAGCCCCAGCAGTGCCGAACCCCACACAGTTGCTGCTCCGATTCTTCTGGCCAATTCTTCAATGCCAACCAACTGCCCCGGGGAGCCCCTAACTAGAAAGCCAGCAGGAGACGGCGTGAGAGAACACTGCTGCCTAACAGCACTGGCTGACTTCCCCGACGCGCCCTGTCGGCACTCACACTTGGCGTGCCGCGCCGGCCCTCCCGTAATATCTGCCAGGTGAGTTCCAGGCTACCCGGCCCGCTGCGCCTCTGATCACCCGGTTCGCACGCGGCCCGATGACAAGGCCTCCCGCTCACTCCGTGGGCCCCAGTGACCTCTCTCCACTTTGCCAGATCGAATGCAGAAGGAAGGCCGCCCGGAGGGTGTTAAAAGCTGATTTCTCCTCCTCTTAGCAGTGAGAGTTGGAAGGTGGTGACCGGAGGGGAAACATTAAGAGGCTCTGTTTTTCCAGGTGCCAGGACCGCGGGGCGGTTCCAACAGCAGGCAAAAGCCAGCCAGGCTCTGAGCCATCTGCGCTGGAGAACTGGATATACTGCTGAATCCGGCTCTCAGCACTGGAGCCACGAAGGATCCCAGTGTCTGCACTGAAATACTCATCCCTGCTGAGCTGGGAAGACTGGACAGACTCTGCACAAGGCCCCTCAGGAAGCGGTTCCACTGGTCCCTAAAACAGCAAGAGAAAGATCATCAGCAGAAACAGGACAAATGGTAAACGGCTTGGCAGGGCACAACCTCGGTCTGCCCACTGCACGTCTGCTAGAGCAGGGTAAAGCCTGGGGTAAGCAAGGAGTTGGGAAGAAGAGGCTGGTTGCGACTTTGGACTCATCTGTTCTCAGACTTCTCTGTCACTTTTTTGTTTGTGTTCTCTTCTTACTATCACAGAAAACTGGTTTTATTTTCAGGGCCATCCCGGACTCATTGGTTGTGACTGGTTCGTGTCAAGGAGGATTCAGGGTGAAAGAGTGTTGTGATCCATTAGTGATGTCTGCCATGGGTGAAGCCATAGGAGATGACAGCAGCGGGCCATATATTTTCCACCCCAGCTATATGCAAAAAAGAAATGGCAAAAGGAGAAAGATACCAGGGGGAAAAAAAGCTGAAGTTGTAACCCACATACCTGTGAATGTGACTTATTTGGAAACAGAGTCTCCGCAGATGGAATCAAGTGAGATGAGGCCATTAACATGGGCCTGGCCCAACATGGTGGGTGCACATACATGAGAAGGAGAAAGGGAGGGACTGGATATATGCAGAGGAAAGACCTTGTGAAGACAGGACGGAGCCTGTGCGACAGTGGGGACAGAGCCAGAGGTGATGCGCCCAGGAACACCAAGGAATGCCAAGAGTTGCCAGAAACCAGGAGATGCTGAGAGAAAGACAGGAAATGCACGAATAAATGTGTTCATTAGTTCAGCCCAACAGTGCCTGAGTGTGTACATCGTGCAAAGGGAGGAGCTCCCAGGTGCATCGAACCAGCCTCTGCCTCCCTTTGCCGTTCAAAGCAACCCCACTGCCCACAGCAGTGTTCAGGGGAGAGCTGGGTCAGAAACGCGCTCCTCTCCAAATCGGAATGCAGCCCCAAGCCCACCGCCCTCCACCCCAGCCTGTCCCCAAGACAGCTGTGCTCCCGGCTGCCTGAGAGGGAGGCACCGACCCCCAGACGCTCCTGTGAAAGCCGAGGCCTCTCCTGCCAGGAACTGGGGCAGCACTTACACCCCCACTTTCCAGCTTCCCCTGCCGCCATGACAGCCGACCGGGTGCAGGTTCTCTGCCTTCAAGATTTTCCCCAGGATGTGGGTAAGAAAGTCCCACTGATGCCAGGCGCCAGTGGGACCCATTATAATTGCTTGTGAAAAGCAAGGAGCCGGCACCTCTACTGGAGATCACGTACACACTTCTCTCCAGCCAACTTTCCCACAGTTCCTTCTGCTGCGCCAGGTGGACACAGGACAGAGCACAGGGAGGAAAGGGGAGGAAAAGAAAGGAATCTCGATGAACGCCTGGAAATCTCCACCTATCTGGTTTTGCTGTGGGCTTTGAAATCAAGAACTGCATGTTCCTATGGTTTTTCACGGGCCCTTGGTCTACTGGGTCCTAAACAAGCACAGTAGACACACCATTTCATGGTTCCATCCCATTTGGTTATTCCAGGTGGTGTGGTTAGGCGGTGCCCTGCTCGGTGAAATCCCAATTCCTTTGACGGAAGTCCCTCCTCCCAGAGGTGGGGCCACTTCTGATGTTACACGAGAACTTACAGCACTGGGCACCTCCTTTCCTTCAGCGAGTCTGCCCACTTTTCTCCAGTACAGAGGGCTTCCCAGAGGAGGAAGAAAGGGTGTTGTAAGAACAGACTACGTCAGACCTCCAGTCACTCTTCAAACACCACAACTTTTAAGTAGAGTTGGGTCGTGTACTTTTAGACTTGCGAGACAGACAGTCTCTGTCACGGCTACTTCAGTCAGCCCCTGAAATAGGAAAAGCAGCCATGAATGATACATAAATGAGTGAATGTGGCCCTGTGCCAATAGAACTTTATTTACAAAAACATGAGGCTGGCCATGGTCTTGCTCAGCACTCATGCAACTGGCAGGCCCTTGGGCCCTACTGCTTTAGGGTGAGCCCAAAGGTAAGGAAGACCCGCCAAGTGGCCTTCAGTCTACCACAGAGATGGGCATCACTGATCTCCCTCCCTCCCCGGAAGCCTCTTTCCCAAGCCTGTGGAGATGTCCTTGCGAGGGGCACTGTCTGAGCCCCCCATCTGCGCCCCGGTGAGCAGGCCCAGAGGACTGGAGAGAGGCTGCGAAGCCCCTGGCAGACCAACAAAAGCCTCCTTTCAGCGAATCCAGGGCCCCGAAGAGGAGTCGTTTCCTCCTGCCCGCGTTTATGGAAGCCGACAGCACAGGCGAGAAAACAGCCACCTCTTTCCCTGCGCTAGAAAACCATTACAATCAATTTGGGCCGCGAGGACGCAGACAGACTCGGCGTCGACTGGATTGTGTTACGGGGCGGGGCGTGGGGGCCCTGGGGAGGCCGGGCGCTAGGCCTTCCGCGGGGATGGCCCATTAGGGCTGCAGCCTGGCGCCACTGCCTGGGGGTCGCTACCCAGCGAGAGTGTCATCCAGCCGGGTCGAGGCTCCCGGTAGCTTAACTGCTGCGGTTGCGCAGACTAATTGCTCACAGTGCAAACACGACTCAGAGTGCTCTGGCCTCCTCAGTGATAGGGTATTAGATGCCGTCCGCTGGGCAGCGCATTGATCTGTATCCTCCCGGCTCCTCCTCCCGGCTCCCTCCCTGGCCCCCCACCCCCTCCGGTGCAACCCAGCTCCCCACTCTGATGACTCCCCCACACACTTATTTTAAGTGTTTTCTAAGCGTGTGTTTAGCAGGAGTGGTGCCTAAGTGCTAATTGTTACACCACAGATTGATTGGCGACGAGATGGCTTGCCAAGTCCCTGTCTCCCAGGGGGCGGGACGGGGAGCGCGCGCTGGGTGCGGTGGGGGAGGGGAGGGAGGGGAATCCGGTCGCTTCCAGCCTGGGCTAGGCGGGAGGGTAACCTCCATCGATGTTTTATTATTGTATGTTACTCATCTCTTCTGCTGTGAGGGGTAGCAAAGGTTTCTCTGCAGGTGCTCGAGAAACGCTGCCCTCGGATGCAATAGGAGGAAAAGGAGGGGAGGCCCTGGCCGCAGGGGAGGGGGCTGGCTTCATCCTCCTAGGCCTCCCAGCAGCCCTGTGCACCCCTCCTGCACCATCACCTATTGGAATGGCACTGTTACCTGGCTCCAGCCACCACGGGGAAAGTGGGGAGCATCCCTGAGCCTGGTCCAGCCTGGCTCAAGACACTGCTTGTCATCCATCCAGACCGGTAAGTAGGTGAGAAAGGGGTGAGTATGTCCAGATTCCCAAGAGACACACTCCACAGGGTGACCTCGCTGACACCGCGCTTTCTCCAGAAGGCAATATCCGCACGTCCTTAGGAGGAGTAGAACCGTAGTCTTGGCAGGTGAGCTGGAATGGGTGTGTGCCTGCTTAGATGGAGACCACGCAGAATTGAACAGTTCAACAGCAATTCAGCAGGGGTCAGAGAGCAGTTTCTGTTTCTTTGCAGTACTGGGGATTGCACCCAGGGCCTTCTCACTGAGCCTCATTCCCAGTCCTGTTATCTTTTATTTTGAGACAGGTTCCCCCAGAGTTGCTAAATGGCTCAGGCTGGACTCAACCCTACAACCCTCCTGCCTCAGCCTCCTGGAGAGCTGGGATCACAGGCCTGAACACCATGCCCACCGAGGGAGAGCAGCTTCTCACCCATGTCCACTCCCCATCTTCCAGGTAGGAAGTGCGGGACATGGGAAACACGGGCGGCACCGGGCCCTTCAGGTCCCACAGGGTGGCCCTTCGAATCGGGTGACATCAGATGGAACAACGTCATGGTGCCCCGGTTTGCCCCACGGTCAAGCAAGGCCAATGTGTGATCCAGTGAGGGACCCAGAGCAGGGTTCGTCAGGGCGAAATGAAAGGGCCTCTGGGGAGCAAGAGGGACGAATACGCCAGAAGCTTCAACTATCGGAATCCTGCTTTGTAACCTTTGTTCTTGAATATTCCGCGTTGTGTGTTCTTGCTAGTCAAGGTCTGTTCTGTGAAGTGGCTTCAGTTTCACCAGTAACTTCTAGACGTGCAGTCTCAGACCTCTCCACAGACCTTCATGGGAATCCCTGCTGTCAGGTGACCCCCAGGAGACTGGGGTGGACCCTGAAGTCTCAGGAGCTCTGGCTTGTATCACCCAGGGGCCCACTTCCAACATAGAAAATGCACAGCTCATACTTGTATTTCTCGATGAAGACAAGTGTGACTTTTTTTGTCACCACCACCCCCCCCCCGCTACAATAGGACTGGTCTAAAGGTAGAGATTAGCTTGTGGAACAAGCTGAACCCACCTCTATCCATCCTATACCTGCCCCAGGGCCTTTGTACATGCATCTGTCTCTGTTTGGAATTTTTTTGGTCTCCAGTTGTCTCCTCACCACTCAAATCTGAACCAAATATCATGTCTACAAAGCTACCATCCTCCCTGACCTCCTCACCCTCTGTCTTATTATCCTATCAAATGCGCTTGTCCTGGAAATTGTCTCGTTCATTGTTAATCCGTACCCACCATCTACCAAATGAATGCAGCTCATTGAGCCAGGGGCTAAGTCAGTGTCTCTGCTGTACTCGTGGTGCCAGGAGCAAAAGAGAGTGCATAGTAGGTGTTCCAGAAATAATGATCTAACTGTTTCGCGTTCCAGAAGTGAGATGACCTAGTGCAAACATTTTGGGCTGGGAATTCTAGTCTTAAAGTGAGTCTAGCATGAAATAAAGAGACAGTGGGATGCAGACTGTTTTCCAACTGGCCGTCTTGGGGCAACCTTGGGTGCCTGCATGGGCCTCGGGCGCCTGCATGGGCCTCGGGCCCCTCTCCCGGCCGTCTGGGGACATGAGGGGTGGAGCTTGCTGCAGATCGTGTGAGACGGATTGAAGTGAGCGGAAGCTGCTGGCCTGGGGTAGAAAAGTCCTTCGGCCAAAGTTGCCTATTCTGCTGTATCTTCTCCACAGCCCTGTAGCTGGGAGCTTTTGCCTCATTTGCCTCATTGCAAAACAACGATTCTCAGAGCAGTTTTAAGAGTCTGCCCGAGTTCCTGTCTTCCCTCTCAATCATGAGGGCACATGATGTTCCCTAACTGGGAAGCAAGGGTGCAAATTCACATTTCCTCCTCCCTTCTCCTCCTCCCCTTACTCCTCTTCCTCCTCCTGCTTCTCTTCTTCCTCTTCCTGCTTTTTCTTCTCCAAAATTACCTTGCACCTTTCCCTCTTGCGAAGGGAAAGCTCATGTTTTCTGAATTCAGGTCACCTTTACAAGAAAAGGAAGCAAAACTCTGACCCAGGTCGAGCCACCATCCCACGTTCTCCATCTATTGAAATGACCTCAGTGAGCACCAGAGAGATTTCGGAGGCCACTGTAAAACTTGAAAAAAAAGCCATGGAAAAAGCATCCTTGTCTGGTAGGATGAGGGATGCAGATTGTGTTCTTCTTCCATTTCAAGCTCAAAGATTCTTACATGGGTTGGCATAGTCATTGGCTTTCAAACCGTGTCTCTAGCTTTAGCACTGTTTGGTCACACAGATTCTCACAAGGAGCCACAGATGGTGATGGGGGGAGGG